CCTGGGTCACACATTGTTCCCCTAGTTCTGAGGTCGTTTAGGGCTTTGGTTCTGTCAGCTCTTAACTTTGGTCAAAAAGTCGCAAAGAATCTTCAGTTAGATCTCAACACTTCTCTTTTGTGGCTGAGGGGAAAATGGTGAACAGAGCAGGACAAGGAATGTAATTCGATGACTATTACAGTGTAGTGATTCTAAGGTGATCCTGACCCACTCGTCGGCTTCTCTGGATCAGACTGTCAACTCTGAACTCTGTTTACTGCCATGCCCTGCCTCACCGTGCTATGCTGCACAGAGCTCCCGCATGGCAGGATGCCCAGCCTGACCAAGCCAGCCTGCTCTTGCCACCTTACATGTGCAGAGTAAGAGATTTTTACCAAACAATGTTTTTTGTAAAAAGACAGGAATGTAAACACAGGCACACACACACACACACAGAGACAGACATACACATACACACCTCTTCCTTCACCATTATTTATTAAATGCTCAAAATGTTCCTTGAGTCTATTTTAATATTTTTCTATCTGTGTCAGACATGCTAAAGATGCCATAGAGCTATAAAAATCTTTAAATCAGAAAAACTGTAGTGTTAATTAAAAATCAACTTTAAAAAAAAAAAAGGAAAACTTATACAGTTTCTTGTATTAAATACCTACAGTGTTTAACATTTGGCTCAGCTGATAAAAATTAAATTGATATTTTAGTATGTTTATGTAAATTAGAAGACAGTTGTGTTCTTCAAATGACACTGTGAAAGAAGATAAAGCCACAAGCTGGCTGAAGGTGCTTGAAACATATATACCCAATCAAAGATGAATATCCCAAGAAGATAAAGAAGTCCTACAAATCAATGAGAGAAGGGTAAGCCCCTAGATAAATGTGCATAAGATATGAATATTCATTTCTCAAGGGAGGGAGCACGAATGGAGAAGAAATGTATTGAAAAATGCTCAATCTTACCACTAATCAGGGAAACAAATTAAGACCACAAGGAGTTGCTGTTTGTTCACAGTAGACAGATACTAATGAGAAGCTTGCCAATACCCAGAATCACTGAGAACATAGCAGTGGGCCTCTTCCCTGGAAAATAATGTAGCTGACTCAGACTGTACATCTACACAGTCTACATTTGAAACTTCTACTCCTAGAGATCCAACCTGAAGATACTTAGAACGAGGTTGGCTAAACAGTCTCCCCTCAGCAAACGAGTGTGGAGAAGGCTGGGATCTGCCTGGCTCATAGCTGTTAAGATTAGCAGAAGGGGGTCTTCATATCCTCCTTTCCTGAAGCCTGATTCATTAGCTTACCCAATTTCTCAGTTTCCACCCATTCTGCCACTATTCTAACTCCCCTATGCCATTTTTCTTGCTGTACCCCAAGAGATTCCCAGCAGCTAACCAGACTTTTACCTGAGCATCAGGTAGGGATCTCATCTCTTTTGTTTTCTCTTCTTCATATCAGTGTAGATGAGACTTCTCTTGTTTTTGTTACTCTTACAATGTGAGACAAGTAGGGGAGAGAAAAAAGGAAAGAAACCCCAAAGCCCCCTCCAAAGTGACAAGTGAGAAAATTGGCTCATCCTTTGTGGGACAAATAATGGTAACTTATTGTCAAGTTCTACAGATGAATAATTCAGAAAGGGGGAGACACGGTAGGTGTGAAGTATGTGCGCTTCATGTATGTGTGTGTATACAAGTGTGCCTCTGTACTTGTGGAACAAACCTCGCTGCCTGCCCTTTCTGTTACCCACCAAGATTCTCCCCCAGGGGTGGACATGAAGTCTCACCCTGACTGAGGAGCCATTGACAGTTGCTGGGAGATATAGAGTCCATTTTCATTAAGGTGTACCCCTGGTCAGTCAACTGTGCTGTAGAAGGTGGTGAACCCACACCCAAATGGGCTTAGGCAGCACCAACTGGACTTTAAAACTGGGTTTTAAAAGAAAAGAAAGTGAGGCCAGAAAATGGACTGTATAGGGAAGTAGAGGTGGATGCAGGAAAAGATGGGAGGTGAATGTGATCAAAATATAGAGTATGCAATGCTCAAAGAATTAATAAAAATATGGTTTTAAATAAACAGGATTAAAAAACAAAACAACAACAACAAAACGTTCTTCCCCAGAGTGTCCTACCTTCTCCAGCACCAGACGTCCATCTACCACAGTGACACTGTGACAGCAGTGAACGAGCAAACAGAAAGCAAATAGCAAGAGAGGTATGATCACCCCCTACCCGCATCCTTCAGGCCCCTGTGACCCTAGCCTGCCCTTGAGTGCACAGGAAGTTCCTTGTCTTAGGCCACTACACAATCCATTCATACTCAAATGATAATGGTCATTGTACTAATAACAATTACCCATTGACCACTTTCTATTTACCAGTTATGTGCAAGCATAGTTTCTTCTGAGTCTCAGAATGACCCTATTATGTGTGTAAAATTATCTTCATTTTGCAAACCAGGACAGTGACTGTTAAAGGCCAACCAACTCCCCAATAGTGAGCAAAGGGGGCTCTCTAGAATGAGCCAGGGATTCATTTCCCATTTGTAAGAACTTTGAATGATTCTGACAGAGAAATGAAACTAAATCTTTTAAACTTTAATTTTTACATGCAATTATGCCCTCCTTGCCAGCAATCCCATAATTGTGTTATTAAGGGTAACTACAGTGTGGGTTTCACAAGCTAAAATTAGGTCATTGCTAGAGTTTTCCATATACTCCAATTCAATATTTGATGGAGAAGCTGGAGGCTGGCTGATGCTGTGTTGGTTCCTCGGTCCCAGAGCATGCACAGAGCTGGCAAACCCACAATTTTCTAACTCCTCATTACCAGGTGTCATTGTCATTGTCTTGAATTGACAAGCAATTTCTATCACTGTTTTTCTGCTCTTGAATGATAGCTTGCTGTTACTTCGGCTCTGTCACTATTATTTAATTCATTGCGGGCTCTCTGTATAACCCCATTGTGGATGGTGAGGTATACAGAACATTTTGGTCTGTTTATTTTTTTTCCAAAAATTAAATTGAACAAATGCATATATCATACTAGGTGAAAATAAATCAAATTGTCTGTATTTAACCATTGTTTTGTCTTAGGTTAAACTATATGTATCTGACTATATTTAAGTACTTTTGATCCATAACAACGCTAGTTTTATAGGGCTCAGTCTAATAATGCCAATGTAAATTATTCATATCTTATTTGGGAGAAAATTATAAGTACAATTTCCTTCCCAATGTGCTCGTACAATGACACTTAACTGGTGATATTCTGCCTGTGAATTTGTGCTATCTCAGTAATTTGCCACATACCACTACCAAGTAACTGCAAGATAATTGCAAAGTTATTTTAAGTTTGCATATGTTTCTCTAAGATTCACAAGTCTTGGCTGTCAGTTCGTGTTCTTCCCTTATAACTTAGCTCCCCATGTTCCCTTATTCTTTCTGACTCCATTTCTTCACTGTGACATAGAGAGGATGGGAAGTATGGACATTGGGATCTTGTGTGCCACCTAAGTAGATCTTGGCCAAAGAAGCTTCAATTGCAGGACTTTAAGACCTGCAAGAGGTTTTCATGTCTCACTAATAAGGTGAATTTGTGACTGTGACCCCGGCTAGCTTCATTGATGGAAGATGAAATGTATACGTTGTGGGGTTGCATACATTATACCTGTATGTCTTTTTGGACAACCCTAAACCTTTATTGACAATGTTTTAAGGAAGTTAGACTCTGACCAGCATTTAATGAACCCCTACCATATAGCAGCTTCAAATCTTATTTAATATCATCACCAGCACTATGATTTTGGTACAATCAACCCACAAGGTAGAGAGACTGCTTCACAGACATGGACGCTGTCTCAGTATTGTAGACTCAGGATGTAGGCAGAATAAGTACAATGGCGACTTTAAAATCCATGTGGTCATTCATCACACCTCCCTTCTCCTTGTTCAGGTCATCATCTAATGGCGTAGGTTCTTCCTGTAAAACAACCCTGGAGTGCTTTCTACCATCATCACCACTAACGCTCCAACACTAGCTCTCCCGAGAGCAAGTGCGGCCACCTGCGACCTCCTCCATTCCTCATGCATTCTCATCTGAACACCTACTTCCTTAGTCGGCATCCTATCTGCAGACATGATCAGGACAGATCATTCCCTTCCCCCACCTCACACACAGACACACTTGCAGGTGATTGTGAAAACCCCAAACAAGTAAAACAGAAACAAATTTTAAAAAACCCTTCATTTGACCTTGCCTTTCTAGCCATTTTCCCTCAATACTTAATTATTCCAGCCCCAACTAAAGTCCACTAAACCCCTAAGTGACTTCCTATTCTCACATACCCTATGACTTTCACAGGCCAGCTTTCACAGCCTCTGTACACTTGCTACTCAGAGCAGCTACAGACAGTTAAAAAATTAACCACCGTTTCTCCATCTGGTACATTCTTCTTCCTTCAAGGCCTGATTCAAATGTTGCTGCCCATGGAAATGTCCACCCAGGCTGTCAAGAGGGTTATAGTGCCTCCTCCTTACGGCCCCAGACTTTGTACACATTTTTAATTGAGTAGTGTCTTGTTGAATGATAGCTGGCTGTTGGAATGTCTAATCCATCTTTCTCACTTGGTAATGAGCCCCCCGGGGATAAAGATCATGATGTATTTATCTTTGGATTGCCAGCATTCAAAAAAGTGCATGGCACAAGGTCGGTGCTCAATAAATGTTCATTAAATGGACAAATGCCCTCAGAGTCTCTGGTGCACAGGAGAACACACTGAGAAGCTAATTCAGTACACCAAGCTAAACGTGAATAGGGAGTAGGGATATTAAATTTTAGTTGACACTTGCCCACCCAGGGGCTTCATGCCAAGGACAGCAGAGATATGAGTCTCAGATCTTATAAAGGGGCAGAGGTCAGTGCATCAAAATGTCTGGTGCTAATCATTTTCCTCTTTCTCATCAGAAAGAAAAGACTTCAGACATCTTTCTAGAGATAGTCATGGCACATAACACAGAGCCTCAAACAGAGACTTCCGTGGTCAAGTTCAAGAATCAAGACTTTAGGTCCTTACGGGATCGTTGCCTGAGCAAGGGTCAACTGTTTATAGATGATACGTTTCCTGCTGAGGCCTCTTCCATAGGCCAGAAGCTGCTCAAGGGAAAGAGCCTCTCAAAATTGGAGTGGAAACGACCCCAGGTGAGTGAGTCCCAGCCAGAACGCAGCAAGTTCTGTGACTCTGGGAGCTGTAGGCCATGGCATCACCCAATGAAAAGAGAAGTGGTGCAGCCTCAAACCAAACAGGAGAGAAAATAAGTCATCTGGTTTCTCTGCCACAATCTTATGTCCAGTCCAAGCAGTGAGAAGGCTCTGTGGTCTGAGCCACAGCTCCTCACTTGGTTCTAATAATGACCTCACTGGCAGATTAAAACATTTCAGTCCTATGACTGGAAACTGGCATGTTATGGTTTGGAGGCTGTGCTGGTTGGTCTCCAGGGTCTCTCCACCTCCTTAATTGAGCCCATCTATCAGTCTGTCAGCCTTTATTCTCTTCAAGTGTCAGTGTCTTTATGCTCCTTTCTTCTTACCTACCAGAATTTACTCAAAAGGAATAGATCATGTCAGTCATTTCTACCATAGGCAGAATTTAAATAATTGCTTTGTCTCTCTCTTTTATAATCACTTTCTTAGTCTCGTAAAGGCTTGGTCATCCATGAAAGGACTCCAGACATCACAGACACCTGTGACATCGGGGTGGTAATGTAGGGTGGCAACTGAATCACCCTGACTCCCCCACCTCAGCAAGTGGCCACCAACTCGACCTTGCAGCGAGGTGAGCCCTGCTGGTTTTGAGAACTATCTCAATTTTAAAGCATGAAGCCCTGTAGATGGAAGTTACCCATGGTTTCATCAGGACTTTTTATAAATATGAAGGAGCTAAATGGAAAATGCTTTGGGGTGCCTGGCGCTTCCTCCTCATGCCTCCAAAGTTGCCAGCACAGTCTAAAACAAGAAAATAGTACAGTCTAGTGAGTGAATGACAGGAACAGTTCTCAGGCACTGCTTACATGCCAAGCACTGCCCTAGGAACACTGACTAACACCAGCCTAGGGTGTACAGAATGGTGATTTCTGACGATGTCCCACAGTGTCTATTTTGTCCAAGGCTATGTGATTTAGTTTCGTACATGAGAAAGAGAACCCAACACACCTAGCTCTGAAGGGAAAACTTTTGCCTTACCTGGGACAGTAGTATCTCTAGGGAAGGAAAAGGCCAACAGAAAGCTGGAAGTGTTTTGATACTAGTTCAAGAAAACCGGATGCATTAATAAGTCCTGTATGGTTAGTCCATCTAGCCCTTGGCAGTAGGTTCTTAGTTATGGCTCTCTTTTGCCTTTACCACCTAAGGAGATAGACAAGTCTATTTAAGGGAATTTTGAAGGGTCACTTTCTCTCCTCTGTAGTATTGAAAAGATAAGATTCATTTAGAAAGCATGTGAGACCTTATTTAGAATGTTGAGAGATTTATAACACTCCTATTTGGAAAGGGCTGAGAGTATCTAATTATCTAAGTCCATCTCAACTTGTGATAGCTTTGAGGAACAAGAAGAAACTGAGGCAAGCAGAAATGACTATTACAGAATCAGCCCAATAATCCAAAGTAAAGGCAGCTAGAAGCCATGTTTGTTTTCCCATCATGCTTCACGCCCAGGGGCTTACCCATACTCTACTAAAGGCCATTGCTCATTTCAGCATATACTCTCAAACATCATATTTCTTAATGTGTCCCTTTTCCAAATTTAGCAATACTTGTGTTTATATAATAATTTCTAAAGACTTCCATATCTTGCAGCCTTTATATTTTTTTAATGTTACAAGAAAGAAAACAAATTCATAGAGGTGATATAGCTTGACTGAGATGGCATGGTTAGGGAGAGAAGAGCCCACGAGTTAGATCAAGACTCCCAAGAGTCTTTTACCCACCTGAACTTGAATGTCTAATTAGGGTTTGTTAGAATTTAGAGTAAAAAGAAATAAATAAGTGGCTGGGTGACTGTCGACAAATGACTTGTTCAGGTTTCAAGCTTATATGTACACAAGAGAAACCTTTTGTTGACTGATTTCTCACATAGACCAGCAACGAGAAAACCTGGGTATGTACCTCTTCACTACTATGGAATCCCTGACTCCTGTAGCTTACAGACTGAATGGAAGGCTACGTATAGAAGAGCCACAACCAACCTAGCCATGCCTAATAATAAGGCCAAGATGCACATAGCGTTATGGTTTTAAGCTCTTTGAATGACTTTTAAAACTGTCATGAGGGGCTGTCATTAATTCCGTTCTACACATAAAAATGGAAACAGAGTAGAATGATCAGTCTAAAGTCACACAGCTGACCTCACAAGCTGACACCTGTAAGGTGACACTGTGAACTCCTGTTATGTGTTGTATTCTTGCCTTTCGTTACCTCAGATGTTTTATGCACCGTTAGAGTCTCCAGCCTCATACGATCCACCAGGAACCCACCCCCCTCCATAAAGTCAGCCTCTAGGATTTTAGACATCTTTGTTCCATTTCAAGGATGAAAAATAATGAAGATGAAAACTGGACCTGTATCATACTAATACGGTTATTTTAAGGGGGACTGTGAGCAATGCTTAGTATCTAGTGCATTGTAAGTACACACTATAAACACTATTTCTCTGATTCCTCAATGTTCTTGAACTTTCAGAATCCAAGAATTTCGGTTAAATTCAGAAAAAAAAAATAGCAAATGTTTCCAAGGAGAAATGTAGGTCATAAAAAATGGTTAGTGGCTAAGTGGCTGCAGGGAAGGAATGTGCAAAGTACATTTCTTCTTGTGTTCTGTATCCCAGCTCTGCTTTCACAGTCAAGCCTCCCCTGCAGCAGCTTGCTTCCCACCTGAAACTTGTTCCAAGGCCCCTTAGCCCATCTCCACATTCTAGACTGTTCTAGACAACAGGGAAATTTCAAACACAGGCAACTTCTAAGCCACAATGGGTCTTATTCTTCTTGGAGTATCCATCCAAGCTTAGTAGGTTCAGCAATAACCTACAAGTCAGGGGCTGGGGACCTGGGCTCAGTTTTCTGGGCCTATCATAGAAAAGTTGTTTAATATCCATAGCTCCTTTTCTCTCTCCCTCTTTCCCTTCATCTACAGTACTAGTTATTTTCCTTGTTGACGGTCCAAAATATCTGATATAAGCAACTCAAGAAAGGAAGGCTTTATACTGGCTGAAACTTTAAGGGTATAGTTGATCATGCAATTTGTCATGGCAGCAGAGACAGAAGGCGGCTGGTCACATAGTGTCCACAACCAGGAAGGAGATAGATAGATAGATAGATAGATAGATAGATAGATAGATAGATAGATAGATAGATAGATAGATAAGACACTATGTTCGTCTCCCTTTCTTCCTTATATTCATCCCATGTAATGGTTCCACCCACACTGAGGGTGGGAATCTTCTCACATTAATTAACATAATCTAGAAAACACCTCACAGATTCCACCCACACTGACACGGATCTTCCCACTTTAAGTAGTGCAATCTAGAAAACCCCTTACAAATATGCCCACAGGTTTGTTTCCATGGTGATTCTAAATCCCAGCAGGGTTGACAGTCAAGGTCAACCATCATGCACCTGCATTTCTTCCTCACTTCTCTTCCCCTCTAACAATGAATCCAATCTGTTTGCTGCTGAAATGTTGTTGAAGGGGAATGTTTCTCACAGCCTGACCTACTCTGTTTCTCTTTAAGGAACATCCAACCTCGTTCCTCACTTCAACTTGGGCTCAGTGGTAGTCTATGACCTTGTAAGGAGGAAACTCAAGGATTCATCATTCTTAATGTTTCCTAAAACCTCTGCTCTCAGGAAGCAATAATGCCAAGAATTTACCATGGGGGGTGTGTGTAATGCATTCTCTAAATTAAATTTGGTACTCACATGGCCTCCTTTTAGGGGACTTTTTATTCTGTGGATAATAGTAATAAATTCCACTTATTGAGTATGTACATAGTTGAGGTATTATACTAAGTGCTTACATGCAATTTGTCATTTAATTACCTTCACAGTCCTGTAAGGTGGATGAAATTATTCTCACTAAATAGATCATCAGTGTCCTGTAGCCCTTTCGCACTGGTGGAGGTGTTCATTCTGCTCTGCTCATTGCCATGGGCATGAGTCAGACGTGTCTATTGACTACGTGGTCTTTGAGGCTGAGAGACAAGAAATGTTAAAGTTATTTAAATCTAAATTGGTGTTTCTCAACCTTCCTAATGCTGCAACCCCTTAATATAGTTCCTCATGTTCTAGTGACCCCAAATGTAAAATTATTTTTCTTGCTACTTCATAACTGTAATTTTGCTACTGTTATGAATCTGACATGCAGGCTATCTGACATACCACCCCCAAAGGGGTCACAACCCATAGGATGAGAAACACTGGTACCACTAGAGCTACTCTCTAGAAGATAGCATGGACCTGGAGATGGTAGATCTTCACATTCTCACCAGTGTTCCTAGACCAAGGGACTGGAATGCCATCTTAGACCTCATTCAGAAAAAAAATAATCCACTTCTCTACCAAAGGATGGGCTGCATGTCTAAAGCATGTTCTCTAATAGGTACTTGGAGCTCAGCTCACAACTTCTGTGGTCACTCCAGAGCAACGCATTTGCCAGCCCAGGAAATGCCACCTTCATATAGTCAGAGTACTTTTGGATGGGATCACTCGCTCACTAGAAGTGACTCACCAAAATATATTGTTCAGAAAAGGAAGAGGCAAAAATTGAAACCCACCAAGATGCATATCTGAATGTGGGATAAACTGTGGAGTTGTTCTATCATGTAACTATCATGTACTATCATCTATCTATCATGTACTATCATCCAGTACTCAGAAGGTACTGGATATAATTATGCCAACAGTCAATTGCCACTGAGCCTCCAAAAAGAAACATCTTTGATGCCAGCGCAGCAGAATTCTCTTTAAAAGAAAATAGGAAAGGGATTATATTGCCACCTGTCCAAGGAAAAGCCTGGTCACCATCTGGAAGGGCTGAGTGACAAGATGATGAGTCTAATTGTTATAGGCTGAATATGAAATGCTCCCACAGGCCTGTGTGCTGAATGTCTCCAGCCGAGGGCAGGATTTGGGATGGTTCTGGAAATG